GTGTGTGTGCACGTACACGTACGTGCGTGTGCACATACACATGCGTGCGTGCGTGCGTGTGTACGTACACGGACGTGCGTGCGTGTGCAAGTACACGTGCGTGCGTGCTTGTGCACGTGTGCGTTCGTGCGTGTGCACGTACACGTGCGTGCGTGTGCACGTACACGTGCGTGCGTGCTTGTGCACGTGTGCGTTCGTGCGTGTGCACGTACACGTGCGTGCGTGTGCACGTACACGTGCGTGCGTGCTTGTGCACGTGTGCGTGCGTGTGTGCACGTACACGTGCATGCGTGTGCACGTACACGTGCGTGCTTGCGTGCGTGTGCACGTCCCTACACGGATAACAACGAACTCGCTTATAACGAAAACAATGCCAAGCTATGACAAAAGAAGCGTCAAATGTGCCTCCTGTCTGTGTAGTATGGTAATTATTTATTTATTTTTGGTTGAGTAGTGCGTGTGCACGTACACGTGCGTGCGTGCATGTGCACGTGTACGTGCGTGCGTGTGCACGTACAAGTGCATGCGTGTGCACGTACACGTGCGTGCGTGTGCACGTATACGGCTAACTACGAACTCGCTTATATAACGAAAACAATGCCAAGCTATGATAAAAGAAGCGTCAAAGGTGCCGCCTGTCTGTGTAGTATGGTAATTAATAATGTATTTTTAGTTGAGTAGTGCGTGTGCACGTACACGTGCGTGCGTGCATGTGCATGTGTACGTGTGTGCGTGTGCACGTACAAGTGCGTGCGTGTGCACGTATACGGCTAACTACGAACTCGCTTATAACAAAAACAATGCCAAGCTATGACAAAAGAAGCGTCAACTGTGACTCCTGTCTGTGTAGTATGGTAATTCTTTATTTATTTTTAGTTGAGTAGTAATTTTATTATGTTTTCTCAATAAAATAATGCATGCTGCGGTAAGCTGAAAACACTCGCGGAAATTTCAAGTGGTTTACGGCACCTCTTCAGCTCGTGTAAAGTTACGCAAAGGTTTACGTAAAGTTTAGCTTGATGAATCGCACCTAAAACGGCCTCGCTTGCGTACGCGAAATCGTACGCAAATTTACTAAATAGCTGTGTTGATGAATCGCAACTAAGCTACGTCGATTGCGTACACAAGATTTACGAAAAATATTTTGCGTACGCGCGTTGATGTATCTACCCCATGCATGAGAGCAAACTGCATGCAGCACCCCTTCGTACAACCAGACCATATAAATCACCTCTGCATATGCTCTGGTACAACCACACTCAGGATACGTGAATTGAGCCAGAGCGAGAGCGCCATCTGTCGTGGAGTTTGCCATCAGGGATGTGTCATTATGTTGTCCAGCGTTTTAAAAAATTATCGCGAATTTACTAACCGACACCACATTTGTGCCTGAAAAACAGCCGCGCAGTCGAATAGGGGGCCATACATTGAAATAATTCGTTTTAAATTACCAGTAACCATCCACTCATCTCCATGTGCATGTCATTGCCACGCACGATAACCAGCCTAAATAATGCAACCACAAAACATCGCGTCAGCTTTAGTGCCCGAGCTGCGGGCACTCCGATTAGTCGGCCGACGACGCGTCACATCCTCTAACCTAACAGGTAACCTAACGGGTAATGAACCGGTAGTGATCACGTCAATAATAAAATGATGGTAAACAAACACGAAATGTAAATATATATTACAAAAGTGTTAATGTTTCTCTATTCTCTTTTCGCTATAATTAGAAATTATATCCTGTAAATCCCCTTCAAATGCTCCTCTGCAACAGACAATTTTACCGTACCTATGCCACTGCGTACAAACAACAGAAATGCAGTTTTCCTGTTTTCTCTCTTTTTCTCATTATTTCTCTATATATTTCTGTTGGTTGTGCACATCGGCGTTTGTGTGTGTGTGTGTAAGAAATGCAGTTTTCCTGTTTTCTCTCTTTTTCTCATTATTTCTCTATATATTTCTGTTGGTTGTGCACAGCGGCGTGTGTGCGCGTGCGTGCGTGCGTGCGCGTGCGCGTGCGCGTGCGCGTGTGCCGCGTGTGCGTGTGTGTGTCACAGAGTAATAAGTGTCGGTCACAGGCACTTGGAACGTCTCAATAAAAAACAAGTTATATGTGTAGAAATATGTATTATATGTGTTGTTTGTGCACAGCGCGTGCGTGCGGTGTAGTCGTGTGTTGCAGATGAGCATTTGAACGGCATTTACAGGAAGTTATTGGCAATAATAGGCGAAATAGAGTAGAGAAACATTAAGACTGGTAGTAAATACATTTTTTATTGTTATTGAGACGTTCCAAGTGCCTGCGACCGACACTTATTACTATGTGATGTTTTTGCGCCATGAGCAAAAGAGGAAATACATTAATTTAAGCTAAGCATATATATTCGTCCGTCGGAACGACGAAGACGATCCAGTCATCCTGGGGTTTGACATCAGGTTTCGTGGGTGGGAAAGTGACTGGTTAGGCCAATCCGCGCCCGGAATTTCGTGTGGCAGTGTGGACAGGGGATATTGACAGCTGTTGGAGGATTAATGGCGTTGTTTTTTTCTGGCCTGTCTGCTTCGTAGGTTTTCATGCCATGGCGGACAGCTGATCGCCACTTTCCTCTATCCTGGGTCGTCTGCTCCCATGTGTCGTGGTTGATGCCGAAAGAATTTAGTGCGGCTTTCAAAGTGTCATTGAAGCGATTTTTTCGCCCTCCTTGGGAGCGCTTGCCTTGTTGGAGTTCGCCAAATAGCAGTTTCTTCGGGAGCCAATGGTCTGGCATGTGAACCACATGTGAGAACAGACCATTATTAAATTCTCTCTAGGATCCTATACTTTAGAATGAAATTTCAGGAGCTGAAAAATTGTATTTCGACCGTTTTCGGCCGAGTGGCAATATTAAAGCTAGGTAGCCATGTACTTCAGCTGTGCACCATTAAAATTATGTCATATGTTGTCCAGCGTTTTAAAAAAATGTCGCGAATTTACTAACCAACACCACATTTGTGCCTGAAAAACAGTTGCGCAGTCGAATAGGGGCCATGCATTGAAAGAATTCGTTTTAAATTACCAGTAACCATCCATCCATCTCCATGTGCATGTTATTGCCACACACGATAGCCGGCCTAAATAATGCAACCACAAAACCTCGCGTCAGCTTTAGTGCACGAGCTGCGAGCCCTCCGATTGGTCGGCCGATGACGCGTCACATCCTCTAACCTAACCGGGTAATGAACCGGTAGTGATTTAATAGTGGTCAGGCCCGTAGCCAGGGGGGTTCGGGGGTTCGAACG